AACTGGTGGAGCTTCGTGGAACCCCCGCCCATGTGCCCCGAGGACACCTCGGATGTGCTGGCCTTCCCTGGGCCCCGGCCCTCGCTCAGAGGGTCCCGCCGCCGGGGCTTGGCGTTTGGCTTCCCGGGCCGCTCGCCGCAGACCTCCCGCCGCCTAGGGTGGCCACCACTGTCCTCCCCGCAGCCCTCCCTGCGGAGCCTGGCCGGCCCTGGCTATTGCTCGCCCCGGGGAGGCCTGTCCCCACAGCCCTCCATCCGGTCGGGCCCTTTCCAGCCGCCCTTCTCGGCCCCGCCCCGCCGACCTCGCTCGTTTCGGGAGCCGCTAACCCCACACCTGGGCTCCAGGCGTCTGGGCCCACCCCGCTCCCAAGCCCTGGGCTCCCCCCGGCTGCCCCCGAGAGCTTTCAGCCAGAGGCTGCCTGGGTCCCCACCTCTGCTGGGCCCTAGCCTTAGCCGCCGCTCCCTGAACCTCCCCCCGCGCCGCCTGCCCTCGTGGAAACAGCTCAGCAAACAGCAGCCCACGAGGGCCGTGAAGGCCCAAGTGCGCTCACCCTTCCAGTGGCCGAGGGCCACAGGATCCTGGCCCATAGGTCGGGCTGCCCCTAAGCCCCGGGAGCCAGAAAAAGAGGACTCAGAGACGCTCTGGACCGTGCCACCGCTGGTCCCAGGCTGGGACTTGGACTCACCTCCCACCCAGCGTCCACCCTCCCCCTGGCCAGGAGGTGTAAGCACCCGCCGGGGTTTGTCCAGGCCACCCGTTGTCCCAGAAAACCCTTTCCTGGAGCAGATGGGCCCTGTGCCATCTCCTTCGCCCCTGGTAGAGGACCCAGCCCCTGACTCAGCAGGTGTCTTCTTGAGCAGACACAGTGAACCAGGACCGGGACAGCTCCTCAGATCTGCAGGACCGAGCCCCGAGAAGCCAGAAGAGGCTGTTCTGGTGGACCCCCAGACACCAGCCGAACTTGAGTCTCCAACCCCAACACCCCCCAAGGATCTCAATACAAAGTTAAGACCCAGCCTATCCTACCCTCTGGCGACATGTGACCAGAAAAAGGCCCTGTGGCCACCGTGGCGTCATTGGACAACAGGGCCCAGAGCCCTTGCTCCTTTGGCACCAACTGGTGCCCCGGAGCCCCTTCCTGAGTCGGGTAAGCGGCGCCAGGTCTCACCTGGACGTTGTGCAGTGGTCATGCCTTGGGTGCAGAAGCTGGGCACCCTCCAGCGAGTGGGTCCTGCCACCACTGTGCAGCATGCTACCCGGCTAGCCCAGGAACCCCAGCCCAGCCTAGAGCCCAGAGCCTGGAGCCTGCGCTGGGCCCACCAGCCAGCAGAGGCCCACCAGCCTTGGCCAAGAGCAAGCACCTGCCCTCCATCCCGCCGCCTGGGCCCTGGAGCCTCCTGCCTGTTCTTCAGGGGGCGCTGGGAAAAACTTGGCTCCCAAAGCTGGCAGAACAAGGTATGGGCCAAAGAGGGAGGGTGGGCAGAAGGGGCCCTACCTGGGAAATGGCACAGAACAGCTTCAGAAGACCTTGTGTGTCCTTGGTGAGCTGCTTCCTGCTTGGGCCGCAGTCAGCCCATCTGTAACCCTGCGAGAACAGCCATGGTCTCTCTGGCCCACTGGAGACGTGAGGTGACCAGGGGGATGCTCTGGGCAGGACACAGACATGGAAGCTTTCCAGGCCCGCTTTGGGAAGGGATTTTTTTTGTCTGTGAGTCCCAGCCTGGACTCTGGACAGCTACCAAGTACCCCTGTTCCTACAGCTCTGTGCTGGTCAGCTGCCTAGTGCAACGCCCATGATGTCCCTGCTGTACCTATGGTCTTCCTACAGACCCTCCCCCAGGGGGATGTTTTCACCCGCTCAGTTCCAGACTTCCCTTCCTAGCCCCCTGGGCTGCGGGCCTCTGGCTTAGCTGAGGGCAAGGTGCTCCCTGTGGAGTGGGGATCCAAGATGTGTTGCTTGGTCCATGTCACACGGAATCAGGGACTGCCTGCGCCAGAGACTGGGCCTCCCTGTGGGGTGGGGTGCAAGGCAGCTGGACTTAGGGGTGCCCAGTTGAGCTTGGCTGCCACACTCATGGCGGAATGCGAGCCTAGCACTGGGTGGCCCTCCAAAGAGGGGGGTAGTCACTGGAGACTCCCCCGGGACACAGAGTAGGCGGGGCGAGCAGGGGCAGCTGGTACCTCAGCCTCTGCAGACTGTGCCTGGAGGAGCGGGCAGCTGGCCGGCCTGGCCCAGCCATGGCGACTGGGGCGGCCTGGCTGTTGGGGGGGCCTAGGCCCCGCCGGCGGGTGCCCCATGCCGTGTGGGTTGCAGCATTGCAGGAGCGGGGTGCAAGGCGCCTAGGGGTGAGGGGCAAGGATGCCTGGGCCCTCCTCACCCTGGAATACGTGAGTGGCTGAATTATTTAGGGTGTGACTGCCAGTGAGCACCGGGGCAGGTGGGGGTGGGCAGGAAGCCAGGGTGATGGCCTACTTAGCGCCGGCGCCCCTGCCTGCCCAGGCTCACTCTTGGTGTCCCCTTTCCTGACTCTCGGGGGTTGGGGGGGCGGGGGGCCTGGGATCCGGGCAGGCTGAGGGTGCCACAGTGGTGCTCAGCCTCACGGATCACACGTGGCCTGCATGCCAAATGAGGAAGGCCCTTGTGGAGGCGCACACACTTGAGCAGGGCATGTGGGCACACAGGCGGGCATGGAGGACATCCTGCAGCACAGGTGGGAGCAGAAGGAGCTGCCTGGCAGCCACAGCGTGCACTGAGTAGCTCCGCTGTGCAAGACCCGGGTGCTTGCCTGCCGATAGCCTGTCTCCAGCCAAGTGCCGGGGCATCTTCTGAGACTGGATGCCTAGGGGAACAGTATGGGCTGTCAGTGCCATGTGTGTCTGCACACGAATGAGACAGACCCACCCCGTTCCGCTGTCAGGACACAGATGTTCCTAGAGTTGTCACACAACCAGACATGATGGGCATGCAGGGTCAGCTGGATGCCTGAATGTCAGAACTGTGAGAACAACACACGGGCCTGAGGTTGGGAGAGCTTTCCTGTGGGGAGGGCTTCTAGGACCCTCAGGAGGATGATGCTTTACATGGGTGGGTGCTCACCCATCTAGACATTGGTGAGCACACGTTGAGAAGAGCTCTCCATGTCCACTTGGTGGACCTCCCAGCTTGGCCTTGGGTTTCCTCCTCGACAATGGGAACAGGTCCCAGGCATGCCTGAGCCAATGCCAGGCCGCTCCAGGGGCCACCCTCTCACCAGGCCAACTCAGTGTCCCATTTCTCTCGCAGATGCACTCCATCCGCAACCTGCCATCCACACCGTTCCGTGAACATCGAGGGGAGGATGGTGTGGAGGACATGACGCAGCTAGAGTGAGTGGGCTGGGGTGGGGGCAGTGTGGGGTCACCATGGGGGTCACAATGGGGACACCATACTCGTCACCATAGAACCTCCTTCATACATAGCTGGGATGCCTTTTCCCTCCCAGGACATTTCCAGAGCCTCCGTTTCCCCATCTGCAAAATGGGTTGTCATGAAGGCCAAATACGTATGCATCAGAGCCCTGTGGACCAGCCAAGTTTGAGTTCAAATTCCAGCCCCACAACTTGCCAGCTGGTTGACCTTTGGCAAATCATTTAGCCCTCTGTGCCTCAGTTTCCTCCTGCCTAACACAGAGTGCTAACACATAGTCCATCCCTGTGGCTGACATTGTGCGAGTGCCAGCACATTGGGGGTGCCTAGGGGTGTCACCACAGCCCACCCCACCCCACCCCGGGGGCAGTAGGTACAATTATCATCATTACTACAGAGAGGTTAGCGACTTGGCCGAAATCTCACAGGGATAGACCTTGAACACAGGCCTGCCTGACCTAGAGCCAAAGCTCTTCCTTAGCCACGGGTTGGCACTGAGGTGGGAAGTGGACATGTGCCAGCTTGGGCCCAGGCCCTGACCGCCCTCCCCCACCCTACCCCGCCCCCGCCTCTGCGCCCTCCAGAGACCTGCAGGAGGCCACTGTGCTGGCCAATATCAAGAATCGATTTGAGCGGAACCTCATCTATGTAAGTGGGGCTGGCCCTGCCTTCCTGCCTGCAGGAGCTCTTGGGGTGGGTGAGCGCATAGCTTTCTTCTGTGGCCACTGATGTGAACTTAAAGGCTTGAACCATTTGAGCGCAGAACGCTAAGGTCCGAGGACATGGACTCAACAGTGGCAGTCAAGAGGCGAGGCAGGGACCTGGAGTTGGGGAACCCAGAAAAGTGTGCAATTTCCAGTGCCTTGTGGACACAGACTCCAATCCCAGAATCCCTAAACTGGGGAGGCCACTGTGGTAGGAGGAGCCACTGACCCCAAAAGATAAAATGGAAAACCAGGGGCCTATGGCAATCCAGGGGAAGGAAGGCCAGGACCATGGAGGGTTACTTGTCCCCATGCTGTCCTGGGCTTCCCACATCCGCTCCACTAGAGGGGTGACCTCAGATGGTCCCGGAGCCCAGACCTGCCTTGGTGTGAAGGAAGAAGGCAGTAGCTGATGCAGCACCAGACCTGGCCCTCTCTGCCGAATGATCGCTGTGGGGCCTTCTCCTTCTAAACCCTCCCCTCCTGCAGCCTGGTGCAGTGCCTGATCACACTCGCCCCACGTCATCCTGGGACGGTGTTAGGGAGCCTTGGGTTTGAACTCTGAAACCAGGCCACTAGAGCTCTGTCCTGATGGAATGGGGGACCCTGGTCTCCATCAGCGCGGTGGTGGGATGCAGAACCAGAAGGTGCACGGGCACTGAGGCCACCCACCCCTGTCCAGCAGACGTACATTGGCAGCATCCTGGTATCGGTGAACCCATACCAGATGTTTGAGATCTACGGCCCCGAGCAGGTGCAGCAGTACAACGGGCGGGCTCTGGGAGAGAACCCACCGTGAGTGTCCCGGGGCCCATGGGTGGGGGGGGGAGGAATGAGGGGATGAGGGTGCAGGGTGAGCAGCTGCCCTGAGCTCTCCTGTGCCCTCTTAGCTTGACAAGAACCCAGAGGCAGTGGTTACAAACCTGCTCCGCTGTGTTGGCCCTTCCCAGGCCTGGCAACACCCTTGCTGGACCCAAGGCTCCTCCCCCAGGGCTTAGCAATTAAAGCAGGCTGGGGGGATGGGGCTGGGGGGCAGAGCAGGAGTGACCAGCCCAGGAGGTGGTACCTAACAGCCTGTCTCCCCAGACACCTCTTTGCAATTGCGAATCTCGCCTTCGCCAAAATGCTCGATGCCAAACAGAACCAGTGTATCATCATCAGGTGAGCTGTGGGTCAGTTTGAGGGGTATCCCTATTCATTGGAGGAGGGGGCTGTCTTCAGTCAGTGAACACTCTACATCAGGCCAGACTTGGGGAACCCCCCAGCATCTCTGGTGCCTCCCCTCCCTGCAGCCCCTTCCTCCACCTGGCCCGATGGCAGGGCTGGGGGACCCGGGAGAGGCCGGGAGCAGGAAGAAGCTCACTCGGCCTCTTTGCCAACAGTGGAGAAAGCGGCTCAGGCAAAACCGAAGCCACCAAGCTGATTCTGCGCTACCTGGCTGCCATGAACCAGAGACGGGGCATCCCACAGCAGGTGGGTCTGTCTGCCAGTCTGCCGGTTTCCCCAAGACCCTCAGGCAAACATCCTCGTGGAACATGTCCAGTGTACTCCCTAAGCAGTCAGGACCCATGGCCCTACTTTGAGGATGGGGAACCTGGCCCCTAGAGAGGCTGGGGCCTGGCCAGGATTTGCCCAGAGAGGGGCCATTGGACTCTGATGTCCCCACTTGAGGAAAGTGCCTGAGGGTGGAGTCCTCTTCTGTGTGGTGGCCACACTGGGTTCCAGGGTCAGAGTGGGGGCTAAATGGACAAGAGGCTTGCTCTGTCTCCTACCTGCTGTCTTCCCATGTACGAACCAGAGGTGTCATCGTCTCCCTATTTCCTTACCCAGGAGTAGCACAAGCTTGGGGGTGGGGTGCTACCTCAAGAGCAGGCAGGGAGGCAGGAAGTGCTACGGGGAGCCTCTGGGCACTAAGGCAGTGAGACAGGTTCTGGGCAGGACTGGAGGCTTGCTATATAAGCGAGTGCTAAGTTCTCATTCCTGAGAGTGTTAGGGCTTCAGCCGTTTCCTGAGGATTGACTGCATACTAGGCCTGTGTGCCAGGCACCAGGGAGGTCCGCCGCAGCAACCGGGGCAGGAAAAACGTGTCCACCGTGTGGAAATTGCAGTCTGGCAAGGAGACTGAAAGGAAACAAAGACCTAAGCAGCTTCTCTGTATATCAAGTCCGGTGAGCTGTGGAGGAAAATGTAGGGCCCACAGAGAAGCTGAGGCAGTGGCCCTGAGGACATCTGGGGAAAAGACGAGCCAGGCAGAGGCTAGAGCAAGTGCCAAGACCCTCCCTGGAGTGGGAACAGGCCTGGTCTGGCTGGGCTGGAGGCCAGGCTCAGACAGGGAGATGGTCATGGCAGGGTGAGGAGTGGTTGAAATCCACACTGTAGAAGTAGAAGGTGGTACTATAGGGAGCCGACTCCCACCTGCTCCGACTGCAGAACCCGATTCTCAGGCTCCCCAGCACAGATGGCCGTGGAGGCGCCCATGTGCCTGCAATGTCCCAGCCAATGGAGGCCTCACGGGGTGGTCTTGGGGGAATCAAGGGCGTAGAGTTGGCTCAGGAGACTGTCTGGTAGGCCCAGTCGGATCCAGCCTTCTTGAATGCTTTCCTTGACCTGCCAGCATCTTCTAGCCCTCCCTGGGCTTCCACGTTAGACTGGGGAAGGACTGCTGAGGTGCTGCCAGAGTCCCCCAGCATCCTTGTGAGGGGCGTATCTTTGGATCATGTTATAATCCGTGTTATAAATGGGGAAACTAACTCTGGGGAGGGCTGGTAACTCCCCAACATAAGAAGGGGATGGAGCTGGCCTTTGAAGTTCGTGGTCAGAGAGCAAAGATCTGGAAAGTGTGTGGGTCTTGGCTAAGGTGAACAGACATCCCACTTTTGGCGGGACAGTCCTGATTTTTGGCATTTTAAAAAGGTTCTGATTTTTTGAAAAATGCACGACAAGCTAGGGAACGGTCTATTTGGCCCATATAGACCAAATTTTTAATCAAGTATCCCCCCCGCCCCCCGTTAATGGTATCCCGCTTTAAATCTGGTCACCTTAGTCTAGGCAAGTTTCTTGCCAGCGCAGAGCCAGGTTGAGGGCGTGTCTGCTATGGGGCTGAGCATGGGACTCCTTTCCCAGCTACGTCTCTGCTTCTGCTCATCGGGTCAAATAGTCTAGGGTGAGGGTCGGTTCTAGGCATGGCTGCATCCCAGGTCTCAGCCAACATCCCTCGTGGTGACTCCTCTCCAACCCGTAGAAGATGATCCTCATTCTCATCCTCCCTGCCACTGGTCAGCAAGGTAGCACCATAATGACACGGCTCACACCTCCCAATAGTTCAGAAGTCTCAGGACTCTCTCTCACTGGACTGGCTTTGCTTCTATGTCTTCACTTGAACCAATCAAGTAGCAGAAAGTGTGCCCTGCCCCGATTGGTTGAAAACCTGGGTTGCAGATTCTGTCCCTTGGGATGGGTATGTGTGGAGGGTGTTGGATGCTGGGCAGTTCCTGACACAACATGGGGGCTCCGTTGGAGGCCTGGAAGTGCCAGGTGCACATCAAGCCTTGCCCCCAGCCCCTGGCTGTCTGCTCACCTGGTGCTTGGTACAGGAAGCAACCGTTCCACACTCCTATGCCCTCAAGGCCAAATAGGACAGAGCAGCCTCAAGGCAGACCCTGTCCTTCATGATACAGTGTTAACCAGGCCAACTGCGGACAAGGCTCAATGGAGTCAGCTGGCATCGTCCCCGAGATAACACATGCTATCTCTGGGGTGGTAAAGCCCCCCTACTTCTGCCCTAAGTACGGATCCTTGAGAAATGCCTTAGCAAGTGAGAAGGCTATGTGCACAGTGCTGCTTGTTGCCGTTCTGGGACTCTGCCCTTGTTGATTCTGCAGTTGAGCTTGGGACCAAAGCATGGCTGTAAGCCTCCATTTCCTCCACTGCAAAATAGATGAAATGATAGTGCCGGCCTTAGAATTATTTAAACACAATTTAGAATCTCTCCTCACATCTCAATGTAGTTGTGATCCAAAGACCAGGTCCTTAGGTGAAAATCCGCATTATATGAAAATGGAGAATGATTCTATCAGATCACAAACAGTAGGATGACTGCATCATTACACTAAATGCCCAGATCAATCCTTCTGTAACTTGGAAACCACCAAGAATCACGGTTCCCCTCTACCTGACACAGGACCTTAGCTATCACAGCCAGGGTCACTCTAACCTCACACCTCGGTGTTCATTACTGCCAGATGTATGTGGGTACTCTACGAAATAGCCAATTAGTGGAGTTTTTGCTCTTGCCAACATGTTGAATAGATAGTCCAGGAGTGAGGAGTAGGTGCACTTAGGGCAAAATGTCTAGTTCACACTGTGGTTCAGTGCCAGCGAATCTGTTTTTCACTCTTAGTGACTCCATGTGACGGAGTAGAATGCCCCTTCGGGTATTCTTGGCGGTCATCTTTGAATGGCAGTGGGGGTCCAGGGTTTTCTCTAATGGGGTCACCTGGTGGGTTTGAACCACACACCTTGTGATTAGCAGCTAAGTGCTTTACCATCGTGTCACCAGGACTCCCTCTGTGGTCCACAGGAGGGTGAATAAGTGGAAGCTTTCATTAGCTAACTTTGAGTTAAAAAGCCATAAAAGGAAGAACAATACTCCGCATTTCACTCGCTGAAGGAAAAACTCAAGCCCCAAGTTGAAATATTGTTGGATTCTATGGCAGAAAGCACCAGAAGAGCAGGTGGAAGGAATGCTCAGTCGTGGCACCGCAAACAACTGGTGGACATTCCGTCTTTCCGAGAGGTAGCACACGACCCAGAATTGATGGCACTGAAGGAAGAAGTCCAAGCTGCGCTAAAGGCATCATCAAAAAGACAAGACTCCAGGAATTAACAATACCAATTGAAATGTTTCCACAAACCGATGCAGCACTGGAAACACTCACTAGTCCATGCCAAGAAATACGGCACCCTCGCCTACTGACTGGAAGAGATGTGTAGCTGTGCCCCTTTCCATGAAAAGTGAGCCAACAGAATGCCGAGATGAGTGAACAATATCACTAATAGCACCTGCAAGTAAGATTTCGCTGAAGCTAATTGAAAGGGGGTTGCAGCAGTATATTGACAAGAAATCGCACCTGGATTCAGAAGAGGGTGTAAAAGGAGGGCTATCGTTGCTGACATCGGATGAATCATAGCTGACAGCAGAGAGCACTAGCAAGATGTTTACCTGTGGTTTATTGACCATGCAATTGCATGTGACTGTGTGTATCGTAACAACTATGGATTACGTTGCTGGGCACTCACTGTACTCATACAGAGCCTGGACACAGACCACCAGGCAGACCAGAACCAGCGGCCACCACATGACCCGAGAGATCCGGAACGGGGTGTGTCAGGATGTCTACTTGGACCGTACTTACTCAGTCTGCGTGCAGAGGGATCCCCCAGGCTAGGCTGCACGAGGGAGGACCCTCAGCACTGGGGAGAGGAGGCAAGGCGAAGCCTGCCACATGCCTGCTGGTGATGATCAAGGGTCACAGCCTCCAGTAGGGGTGACAACTCACCGTAAAGAACCCCCAAACCTTCACATCGCGGTGAGTGGAGACCAAACTGAAATTGTCGAGGGTTTGCTTTTACTGGCATCAGCAAGCAGTGAGCAGCCGTCCCGAAATCAAAGAACTTCATGCCCTGAGCAGATCTGCTGCACAAAGACCTCTCTCCAGTGTTGACGAGGAAGGGGGTCGCTCCGAGCACTGCTGAGAGCCTGACTCAAGCCGGAATACCGCCACTCGCCTCCGGGCCCCGTGAAAGGTGGACGTGGAACACGGAAGACCGGAGAGCACTTGGGCCGGTCAGCGATGGTGTGGGGAAGAACACTGACAGGACCACGGACTGCCGGAAGAATGAACAGTCAGTCCCGTCTCAGAGGAAATACTCTCCGAGCCAGAGTGCTCCTTAGAAGCAAGGGTGGTGAAACTCCATCTCATGAACTTTGGACATCTTCTCAGGAGGGACGGGTCCCCTGGAGAAGGACGCCATCCTTGGTGAAGTGGAGTCCGCAGAAAGAGACGCTGCCGCCATGGGTTCAAACAGAATTGTGAGGATGACACAGGACCGGCCAGTCCTTCATCCCGTCGTCCACCAGGCTGCTGTGAGTCCCACCGACTTGCCGGCACAGTCACCGCCCCAACCCCACCACCTGCTATGAACCCCCGGGTGGTGCCATTTGTGTGCTTACTGCAAGGTTGGCAGTTTGCCGACTCGTCAAGGCAGTTTGGGAGAGAGACTTGGAGACGTCCTGCGGGGAAGCCAGCCATTGACGTTCCTGTGGAGCCCAGAGCCACCACACGAGAGCACGCCTGTGTCAGAATCGGCCAGACAGCCAGTGGTCATGTGACTGAGCGGTCATGTGACTGAGCTGCTGCTCCCTTCATCACTGAGCAGATGTGTTCTTTCTTTGTAATCACTTTATTGGGGGCTCGTTCAGCTCTTATCACCATCCATCCATCCATCCATTAGTACATTTGTTGCCATCATTATTCTCAAAACACGCCCCTGGCATCAGCTCCTCATCTTCCCCCACCTCCCCGCTCACCCTCCCTCATGAACCCTTGATAACTTACACAGTGAACCCTCATTTATCGCGGTTAATCGGTTCTAGACCCTACCGTGATAAATGAAATTCCGCGAAGTAGGATTCCTTATTTGTAAATCAAATATTTTCGTA